AAATCCCATTCCTGTGTTACCAAATTCAGGGAACATCGGTGGCTTCTAATGATGAGATCTATTGCCCCTTTTGGAGTTTAGGAATTTCAATAGGGCCATTGACACTGACTTTGTTCAAGGCCATGTAATGGATTGAAATAATGGCTTGGAAAGTCCCTGTTTGTAGAGATGGACAAGGAAGAGGAATGGATGTGGGGGATCCCCTACTTGAGAAAGTACAGTACTTAGGAAAGTAAGAGAGGATTAACAGACTAAAATTAAAAAATGAATTAATAGGCATTGCCACTATAGATGTAAGATGAAATAGAAGCTCTTACAGGATAATGCAATGTATTGCAATGGTGGCTTATTGCCTTGAGGAAGAATCAAAGTGGTCCTAGAAGACAGACTTTTTCTAGTGGTTTGCCAGAGGGGCGGGGGAAAATGAAAATGCCACCTGACTGCCTAGAGCAGTACTGGTGGGAGAATTCTAGGAATTGAGGTCCACACTTCTTAAAGTTCTCAAGGTTGAGAAATACTGCCTTAGAGCTATACCCTAATCTACATTTTTGTTCCATGTTTCTTACAGAATAAAGCTCTAAGGCAAGTATTCGTTCATGATATATAAGCCATGATTGGTTGGGTTCATAGGGTGCTATGCCAAAATAAAACACATTATCACATTTTAGTCTTCCATAGTTCATCCAAAGAAGTGATTCATGTGCCACGAATCTAGTAGCCAAGCCTCACAAATAACTAAGTACACAGTATTTAACTTGAGTGGCAAGAATACACTTAAGTAAAGATGTAGTAAGTGTCTAAAAGGCTGTTCAGTATGAGAGGGGAAAAAAGAGCAAAACTAGAATCATGGTTGAAATCATAGTGGAAATAGAAAAAAAAGTCCTGATGTTTTGGCAAAAACATAGGAGAGTTCCAAATGAAAGGTGATATTAATCTGATTCCCCATTGCAAAATATTTGGAAGTGGCTGAGGCAAAATGATAGAACAATAAAGGTAGTCCTCTATGTACAACAGTTCATTTAGTGACCATTCGAAGTTACAACTGCCCTGAAAAAAGTACCTTATGATCATTTTTCACACTTATGACCAGTGGTCAAAATTAACTGCCATGTATTTATGGTGGTTACAATGACCTAGGATCATGTGATTAAATGCCATGCCATGATTTGATCTATGATTTGATCATGGCATGATTAAAACCAGATAATGCTAGACAAATCTTATTACATTTGACAAAGTGACAAAATAATGGACCAGAGAAATTTACTTGGACTTAAATAAGGCATTTGGTAAAATAGATCACATCCTACTACTTGATAAAATAGCAAAATGTAGGTTAGACACTGTCACCACCAGATGGATTCATAACTGGCTGACGAACTGCCCTCAACATCTAGGCCTTAATGGAACTGCATCTACAAGGCTTTGTCTTAGATCCATTACTCTTCAATATCTTCATCAAAGATTTAGATGAGGGGATAGATGGGGAACTCATCAAATTTGCAGATGACACCAAGTTGGCAGGAATGGCCAACACTCCAGAAGACAGGCTTAAGAAATAGAAGGATCTTGACAGATTTGAAGAATGGGCCCTAGCTAAAAAAAATGAAATTCAATGGTGAAACAATTAAAGTTCTACATTTAGGCAAGAAAAACCTAAATGCACAGGTATAGTATAAGTCAATGGTTCTCAACCTGTGGTCCGGGGATCTCTGAAAGATCATGATGTCTTCACAAAGGGTCTGTGAAGGCTTGAAGAAATGTTATGATTTAAATCTAGAGTTAAATCTTGGTGGTCCATGGCCAAGGTCCATGGCCACAAAAGTATTTAAAGGGGTCTGTAGTGAAGAAAAGGTCGAGAACCACTGGTTTAGGTGATACCTGGCTCAATAGTAACTGTGAGAAGGATCTTGGAGTCCTAGTGGACAATCACTTAAAAATGAGCCAGCAGTGTGCTTCAGCTGCTAAAAAAGTCAACACAGTCCTAGGCTGCATTGACAATAGGATAGAATCAAGATCCTGTGACATCTTAGTACCATTTTATAATGCCTTGGTAAGGCCACACTTGGAATACTGCATCCAGTTTTAGTCACCATGATATAAAAAAAGATATTGAAACTCTAGAAAGAATGCAGAGCAGAGCAACAAAGATGAGTAGGGAGCTGGAGGCTAAAACATAAGAACGATTGTAGGAATTGGGTATGTCTACTTTAATGAAAAGGACTAGGGATGTTCCAATATTTGAGGGGCTACCACAAGGAAGAGAGGAGTCAACCTATTCTCCAAAGCCACCTGAGGGAAGTACAAGAAGCAACAGATGGAAACTAATCAAGGAGAAAAAAAAAAACAATCTAGAACTAAGGAGAAATTTCTGACAGTTAGAACAATTTATCAATTCTAACATCACAATGTTAGAATGACTTGTTATGATGCTCCAACACTGGAGTTTTTAAAGAAGAGATTGGAGAAACATTTTGTCCGAAATGGTATAGAGCAAGGGATTGGACTAAAAGACCTCCAAGGTCCCTTCCAGCTCTGTTATCCTGTATTACTTTTTGCAATCTTCTGACAAGCAAAGTCAAAACGGGAAGCCAGATTCACTTAACAGTGTTACTGACTTAACTACTAGTGAGCCACTTAACAACTGTGGCAAAAAGGTCATAAAAATGGGGCAAAATACACTTAACAATTGCATCACTTAGCAACAGACATTTTGGGCTGAATTGTGATCGCAAATTGAGGGTTACCTGTAAAAATCTCACCAGGAAAACATTCCACATTAAGCATGAACAGATTTGCAAGCAATAGAAGAAAGTTCTTGAATGGATGTTTGTTTCTTGTGGTCATAAGGGAAAGTAGCAAATGAAAGCTCACCCTTAAAGACAAAATGTTCAGTAATTTTCATTTTATTTCTTTCTCCACAGCCTTTGGATCAATTGCAGCTTTCTACTACTACTGATGAGTTCAGCTGACTACGTGACCAAGACGTGGACTTTCCCCAACCAGATTTCTATCACACCGTTCTTCCTAATCAAACAAGTCCTTTTTTCTAACAGAGTTCATCTATTGACAAATATCTACCTGTTTTTCCAGCTCTTGGACATGTCACACACATTTTCCTCCTAACAGAGATTTATTGGTTGGTTTATCCCTCTCCTTGTTTTCTTTGTGTTCGTGGCATCTTCTTCTATAGCCTGTCTGATCTAAATCAAAGTTATTTTCCTTAATCCAGGAATAAGAACTTGAGGACTATGAAATCTGTTTCAATTTTCACAAAATTTTTAAAATCTTACTAAATGAAGTGCAAAAATAGAAAGTGGAATGGTGGATACTGAATCACAGACCAAAATGCTGAATCAGCTTCCAAATTCATTTTTTGATACTGTATGAGAGCTCATGTATAAATAAACTTTCTTTTTTAATTCTTTTAAAAATAATTTTTTTAAAATTAAAATTAAAAAATCTTTTAATTTTTTTTTAAAAATTCAAAATGATTGCTAAAATGATCTTGCTGCTTACTACAAAATTGACCCAGTTAATTTTAAATCCTAGTTTCCAATCTACTCCAATTCATCCCTTCTATATAACAAACTGGAATGTGGCAGTAGCTGCTTAAAACAATGTCTCCCACTGTGAATATTAAATTGGTACAACAGAATGTAATTTGTAAGAAAGGCACGACTACGCTCAAATTTAATTCAAGCCTTGTCTAGAACAAGGCTGTGTATGAAGATTTTCTTTGCAATACCCAACAGATTTCTTATCTTAACCAAGTTATAATTAACAAGCTGATATTCTGCAATGCAAAGCTCCAATGTTTAGCAGGAATCATTTTCAGTTGTAAGAATGACTGTAAGACTCACATAGTCCCCACATGAGTTCCTAGTAAATAAAAATGGCATATGGCTCAGTTGAAACAGTTTAGTTTCCAGGCCTAATTAAAAGGGCTGATTATCCTTATAAAGGCCACATACTACCTTATTAAGCAGGATAGAAAGGTTCTGTTGAAGGTCCTGTTTCCTATAAAGTAAGAGGACTGGTGGTGGACCATAAAGTGCATTTTTAAAGATGTTGTGGAATACGTTGCTGCTGAAGGTACGTTGCTGCTGGAGGTATACTTGACCCACTATCTTTTTATATTTTGCTATCCCCCCCCTTTTTTTCCAGTATATATTTTTTCCAGTAAATTTATTATTGTAATGTGGGTGGAGAATTAATAAAGGTCCAATTCTGTTTTTTACTTTGCCCAGAGTGGATTAGGTTAATATCTCAAAATGTCAAATAAATGAACAAATAAATGAACAAATAAATGTGAAAGCTGTTTCATTTTCCCCAAAACCTCTGAAATCTACTGATTTAGCCCAAATGCAAAAACTGAGGATATCCATAGAAGATAATATACACGATGTAGTTCAGGGTTGAACTGTGGCGTCCTTATTTCCTTGCAGACCTTTTAATTACCTGATAAGGTAAAGTCATCAGTGCTGATGAATATGGGGTCAGCTTAGAAAACCTATCACAGATAATATGTTGCTTTCCCATACCATTTTGTCCATTCTTTACCCCCCCAACCAGACTACAAAGTATAATCTTATTTTATTCTATCTTTCTACATCAGATAACTGAGTCTACAGAGACATATGTTACAATAAATCTAATAAATAAATAAGTCCTAAAGATACCAGGAGATTCTCTTAGTTAACATCACAATGTTAGAATGATTGGCTTATCATCAGTTGCTGCTCTGAATGACCACTATGTTGAGATCATTCAGGTTTACTGAACATGGTCACAATCCTATTTCACGCCTGCAGTTTATTCCATTTTTTTTTCTTATTCTGCCTATTTGCTTTCTGGGGTGGGAGGAGTATAGTTGTACTTCGTTCTCACATGAGTCATTTATTTATTTAAGGAGTAAAATACGGAAAAGTACAACCTGACAGGGAAAATAAAAGATAAAGTGATTGTACAATGAAACAAACCCAGCTTTTGATATGTTGTGGTAATTAAAACAAACTAAACATTTATTTAGTTAAAAAAGTTAATTGATGGAGGGACAGAAGAAAAGACCCATGTGATAACTTTTGGTATCAGCGTAAAATTATTTTAATTAGGCTTTTCATCAAAACTGGGTCATCTGGAAATCTACTTTTTCATGTCATTTTTAAAACAGTGATTTTTCATAAAAGGTTCCCACAAATTGATTAGTTTGAAAGGTTTGACAGCCACAGCAAGATGAGAAATAGGAAAGTGGAAGAAGGTGGGGGGGGGAGTTCTGCAAGGTTTTGAACATGAGTTAATATGATAGCCAGTTTAGTCTAGTGGTTAAGGCACCAGAAGCCAAGAGACCGAGTTCTAATCCTGACTTAGGCCTGAAAAGTAGCTGGGCAACTTTGGGCCAATCATTCTTTCTCAGCCTCACGAAGTTGTTGTAGTGGGGGAAATAGGAGAAGGAAGTAATATTGTGTTCATTGCCTTGAGTTATTTATAAAAATAATAAAGGCAGGAAGTAAATAAATACAATCATCTTTCTGCTCTCTTTGAAACCAGTATGAGATAATTAACTCTGCCAATTCCTTCTGTAATTATAAGCTTTGTTTGAACCAAAACTGAGGATTTCTTTTCAAGTAAAACAAGGGATTACTTGGACTCATCTCAAAAATATTTTACCTTATCCCATCTAATGGCTGTCACCAGAATCACACTTATCATAGCAAGTTTCTTGGTATAACTGCAGCAGTGGCCGGAGTATTTCAAAGATTTTGGAGAGCCCAGAAATAGCATATTAATTTGAATGTTTCCCTGTCAGCAGAGTATCCTACATCAATGTGTTTTATTCACTTCCATTTCGGATATTTGGAGAAATGGAAAAAATAATCAAGTAGTGGGTTAGCAAGCACTTAGAAAGGAACATGATAATGCTAGAAGGCAGCATGGATTTTTCAAAATAGATCATGCCAGATAAATATTTTTATTTAGTTAGTTTTTTAAAAAGTTGACTAATCAGTAAACCAAAGGAATGGTATAGATATTGTATACTTAGACTTCAGCAAGGCATATAATAACGTTGACCACAACTTCCTTCTTGATAAAATAGAACAATATGGGAAGGATGGTTCCATTACCAGATGAATTCATAGTTGGTTGAGCAATCATACCCAATAAAGAAATCTATATCTACATGATGGAAGGTATGTAGTGGGGTATCTCAAGGTCCTGTCTTGGGTTTAGGGCTCTTCAATATTTTCATAAATGACCTAGACAAGAGTATAGAAGGGATGAGGATAGCTAACACTTCAAAAGACAGCTGCAGTTTTCAAAATCCCATGCTATGGAAGGGAAAGAGTGCAAAGAACAGCTACAGAGAGGGTGAGAGGCATGGAGGCTCTGAAGAATGGTAAAAAGAATCGGGTATTGTTTGGCATAAAAAATAAAACCAAGGGGATATTTGACAGCATTTTTCCAATACTTGAAGGACTTTTATAGGGAAGAGGATGTGGATTTATTAATCACAGTACTCAAGGATTGACCAAGAAACAATGCATGGAAGATAAACCAAGGGAAATTCAAATCTAAAATAAGGAAGAATTTTTTTAGTTGTGAAGTCTACAAAGTGATGGAATCACTTGCCTCCAGGAGTTATGGGTTTTCCAACACTGGAGGTTTTTAAGCAAAGGTTGGGTAGCAATTTGTCCAAGCCACTGCCCAAATTGCTCTGAGCAGTGGCTTGCGTTCCCTTCCAATCTTAGGATTCTTGTTCTGTCACAAGTATAATGGTTCAGTAAATAGAAAGATTGAAATTTGGGGGGGGAATCTATTTTAATGGATTAGTTTGATTGCCTCAGATGAAAAATATTGATCTGGTTATTTTGAACACTGAACTGTGCTTTGGATAGGGATTCCTCTCTTGAAATCCATGTGGCCTCAAGCCTGTTGGCTTTTAAGAAGACAGTTGACTTTTTAATTGATTTTTCTTAACTCTTTGGAAGATAACCCAGAATTATTGGCAAGTGGGCAGGCTTAGAAATTAATTACATAAGCAAATGTGTGCAAATAAGCAAATGTGTGCCATTGCCTCCCTCTAAAAGGGTCCTGACAGTAAGGTACTGTCCTGTTATGATGGGAAGAAAAACTTTTGTTGTTTTTAAATAAACATTTTTCCAGGAAGAAAATATTAATAGGGATGTGGCAACATCCCTAGAAGGGGTGGAAGCAGTTTTCCCATCTGGGGGCCTTCAGTGGGTCTGCTACGTCTGTTGGAGACATATCATACCTGTTACAGTTCTCATTTTGAAAGAAATCAGCCCATTGTCTCTTGGTGATTTCCTACTGAATTTCAGCAGCAGGAAGAAACGTGGCAGGCCCTGGGGGTTGCAGAAAAAATGATAGTAAGACCATGTGTGGCCTGCTGACAGTTGATTGCTCAACTTGGTCTAAAAGATAAAGGCAAACATTTTCAATATTTATAAAGGAAAACATTATATTCTAAATTGCTATATTCTTGCTTTTGATAGCCTTTTTCCTGGGTTCAGATATGCTTAACCTGGCTAACAAATTAAGACATTATCCATAATTCACAGTTATACATTTAACACTAGACAAATTTTATTTATTTGTGTTGTGGCAATGAAAGCACTACACTTTAACTGACCTTGTTAATTATCCACTGTGTTAACAACTCTCATGACTTGCAACCATAATGGACAGGAGGCATTACACTCATAGGTGGAAGATTACCTGTATAGTTAGCCCAGAAGAAATTGATTAACTTTATGCAAAACGGTAATTATTTGCATAAAAGGCTTGAACTAAAGCCAACTTGTTTGAGTACTATACTTTATTAAGAAAAGGAACAGAGCTTCCCTGTTTGAAATTCTGGGGTATTTCTTTCCCATTTATTTGGGCAAGGCATATACATTACATTGTACTAATAAACTGCCTCTGCATTTCCTTACAAAGCTGAAGGGGGAAACCCAGTGGCTACAGAATATAACTGGCAATGTAGAGTAGTTAGAAGGTGTGGGTTTTGTACGACCTCTAGTGAACAGTCTTAAAGTTGCACGGAGGAAATCCCCATTTTCCTGACAAGGCTGGGGTTTCCCTGATTGCAAATGGGAAGTTCCAGGCCAGCAGATTTAAAGGCAGCATTGGGCAAATATAATGTTCTGGACCATTCATACTTAACCTGATGTCCTCCATAGGTCTTAGACTCCAACTGAGGATCTAGGAATTATTTATCTGCTTAGTTTTAAAGGCTACTTGCCTACGATATATACTTTTAAAAGAATATAAAACAATGTAAAGCAGAAGAGACTAAACACGTCTGTGCAAAACCTATGGGTAAGGCTCCCAGCTAACCTCCAGAAGGCCTAGGAGAACAGTCTAGTTTTAAAGACTTCAGAAATAACATCAAGCTGACAGCCACAAAGATTTTGGGGGTGGGGTGGGGATACTATTCCAGAGCACAAGAATCATGACTGGGTCTGAATAAATGGCATTGTTTGACAGGACCCAAAGCTCACTAACATAGATTCATATAATGGATACCAGTCTGGTGCCTAGCTCTAAGGACATTTCAATAAACAACCAATTTTATAACATTAAAACCTTTTTGGGGAAACTAATTCAGACTCTCCTTTATATATTCTGCCCTTCCTTCAGAGAACCAGAGAACTATGTAGGATTTTCCCTTCTTTTATGGTATCATCACAATGAACCTGGCTATAGACCTGGCTAAGAGATCATATCTGACCCAAAGCCACTCACTAAATATTTATTAGAATTTATGTAGCCCATAATGTCCAGGAAATGTTGATAAACTAATCCATACTGAGTGCACATTTGAGCCATAACATGAAATACACAGAGATATTCAAGAATGCTAGCTCCCAGTTTTCCTTGGATCACAAAAACCAAAAATTCACTTTGCATGTGGCATTAAATATACAATATATTTTGGCAATGTATGTTTTGTGAACTCAACCCTTTGATATAATAAAACACTGTTAATAACAAGGATAGACAATTGTGTTTTAACTAGGGACTGCATTTTTTTCTTTCGTCATCGCTAAGCAACTACAATTGGGATTGGTAACATGACTGCTAGGTGGGAAATCACATGATCATGACTGGAGCATATGAGCATAACGACCTTTAGTCGTTAAGCGATATAGTCTCTAAGTGAAAAGTCATGTGAATGTCACTTACAATTTTATTTCCACCTTCCCTACTGTATAATATTAACTGCTTGTCACAAATAAAAATACCCAATAGTTGCAAAGCACATGAATAGCAATCATATGGCTGCAGTTATCATTAAATATGGAGATTGGTCACAAAAGTGTTTGTTTTTTTTAGCATTGCCATAACTTTGAATAGTTGCTGTATGAGACAGTCAATAAAGTTGACTGTTTTGGCCTTATAGGGTTGCAAAGGGTATGGAGGACAAACTGGGGGGTTAAGGTGTGCCTCATGAGTATATATTATCTTAAATTTATAAAAAAAACAACAAATTACTCACATAGTTAAAATCCTAATTTTGCTGTCACTAGAATGTTTCAGTGATTCACTCTTGCTTTAGTGCATAGCATGCGACATGGAATCAGCCATGGTGGGGTACTTGTGGGTGCCTGCCTACACACAAACGCGCGCACGCGCGCGCACACACACACACACACACACACACACACTCTTTATGAGTGATGAGTGACCTCAATCAAATATTCTTAAGAACTCTGCTTGCTTTCTCTTCTGACAGAATCCTGGTTTCTTCTTTTTCATCAGCCCCCCCCCCCCAGCATTATAACAATTAACTTACAAGGGAACATTTCTTACACAGGGGTATCAGGAGACCAGTCAGATGCTTCATTTTCATGACCAGTTTATTTCTTCTGGGTATTTGCCCCATACAGCAGGTACTATATATGGCAACCCCTTCTTTTTTCCCACTGTAAAACTCTTCCCTCCTTAAGGAGAAAGAAACAATCCTAGGTTGTCTTGCCACTGGTTGTTAAGGAATCACTGCAGTTGTTAAAAGTTAATGATGCAGGGCACAGCTATTTGCCGTCACAAACAGGAGGGAGTATGGTCTTTGGAAGAAAGTTTTTTTTACAACGCCCCCCTCTTCCCACTCAGAAAGAAGGTGGTGACTGACCTCCCTCCCCTCCACCAAATCTGAAGCAATGGAAGAAAGATGACGACTACATGGGAAGGAGGAGAAAACAAAAGTGCTTAGAAGCTCACTTGACTCAATTCTTTTGGCAGGATCCCAGTCCAACCATTGTAAGGCTTATGCTGAATCCAAAGACTCGCTATGGGGAAGCGTGTCTGCTGGTGCTGCTGGGAGAGGTCAACCTCTTCCCCATTCCATTCAAAATGTCTATTCATGTACGTCCCAAATCTCAGACAGAAGTGGCGGAAGCTTCTTGTCTTGAAGGCGCAAAGCAAAGACCTGCTCTGAGTGCACACTGCTCAAAGTCCTCAGGCTCACCAGCTTCATCAGCATGCGGGGGAACATCAGGTGGTCCTATGGAAGGAAAGGGAGGCAAAAAGAGACCTTGTGAAAGGTGTGATGCCTTTGATCAGAATTGTGTCATTTGAGATTCCAGGGCTATGTGGTCCAGAGCCCTCAAAAACATGCCTTTAAATGTTAGTGTTTGAGAGGAAAACAAACTGGTTAAATACACAGGGAATAAGCATATAAACTACTTTTCATTTTTATATACAGGTAGTCCTCGAATTATGATGGCAGTTGGTACTAGGACTGCAGTCACTAAGTGATGTGGTTGTAAAGCAAAAATTTACGTGACCACACTGCTCGGTGATGGCAATCCAGGCAGTCCCAGTTGCTGTTGTAACCTGAAGACACACAGGACATTAAGCAGGAAGCAGCAGCAGTCCCAGGTAAGGCATTTGGGGTGCCACAGAGGGAGGGGCGGCCCAGTGTGGCTGGGCATGAGTTGGGGAGGGAAGTCCTGTGGAGCGGCGTAAGCAGAGGAAAGATAAGAGGAAGAAGGGCATGGTGTGTACGAACGAAGGGAGGAAGGAGGGTGCAGTGCATGTGAGCAAAAGAGAGGAAGACGAGGACAGAGTGCATGCAAGTGGAGGAGAATGCAGGGGGTGAGAGAGAAGAAATGCTGGGGGAAGACTCACCCAAGCGACTGTGAGCCTCCCTGCTTGATTCCCCGTTGATCTTACTTGTGGCAAAACGGCAGGGAAGATTGCAAATGGAAATCCTATGACTTCAGGACTCTGCAACTGTCCTAAATGCAACTTGGTTGCCAGGCACCCAAATTCTGTTTACATGACCGCAGGGGTAGTACAACACCAAGAACTTCTGGGAACAATTTTAAATCCCTCCGATTTTAAACCCCTTCATTCAGTGTCATGGTTCAGTGCCACAGTAACTTTGAAAGGTTGCTGAACAAATGAACTCTAGGTGAGATGGGCAGCCAAGAAGTCTAATAAATAAATAAATAAATAAACATTAAAGGAAGAATGACTTACAACCATTCATTTAGTGGCCAAAGTTACAACAGCACTGAAAAAAAAGTGAGTCCTGACCATTTTTCACACTTAAAACTACTGCAGCATCCCCATGGTCACGTGATCAAAATTTGGGTGGTTGGCCACTGACATATGATGGCTGCGGTGTCCCTGGGTCATGCGATCACCTTTTGCGACCTTCTGACAAGCAAAGTCAATGGGAAAGTTAGACTTACTTAACAGTCGTGATACAAACTTAACAACTGCAGTGATTCATTTAACAGCTGTGCTGGGAAAAGTGGTAAATTGGAATAAAATTAACTTAAGAACTATGCTGCTTAGCAGTAGAAATTTTGAGCTTCTTTTGGTTGTAAGTCATGGACTACCTGTACTTGTAAGTTGAAAGCGTTTCTACATGAAAATATTACCTATGTTTGACCATGGTCTGTGAAAGAAACATGGTTTACTAAGATACAAAGGAAAAAAGGAACCGGAAGAATTGGGAAGGGGAACAAAGGAGAAATGGGCTTACTCAGGCTCTTAACACTCAGTATCTAGTGAAAGCAGGGCAGAATTGCACAATCCAAAAATGTTTCAGGAAGAAGAATTGTCTCCACACCCTGCCATTCCCAGTCCAACCATTGGAAGCTGTTAGCAACGCTAGGGGCAATATTTCTGAAGGTTGCTATTTTTGTGGTTGCAGGGTGGTGACATCCTCGAATAAAGCAGGAACAAAGCCATTTTTCCATTTGATCAGAATGACAGTTGAACAAGTTTTTAGTTTCAGAGCTAAAGTAAATCTATCAGAGATTTAGCACATTTATTTATTTTTTATTTTAAACTGGCATGGAAGAAAACCATGCCAAAAATTCTGACACTTTGCCATTGATTGTTTGCATTGCAATATTGAGAAAATCTTGGTAAAAAAAAAAAAAAACCCTTCAAGGCTGAAAAAGGCTTGCTTCCACCTTTAAACCCAGCATGTTCAATACATTTTGTGTTGTAACCCTTTAATGTAGTAGTGGGTCTGATCTAGTGTGCTATGCAGTCCCAGCCAACTCTGAAGGAATACGCTTAGAACTGTGGTGGTTACTTGTACTCTTAATGTTAAAGACTAATCTGAAACAAACTTCCTTGGGATTCAGAAAATATATTCTTATGGTTTTATGTCTTCACTTCAAGGACTGTTTCACTCTGCAGTTCCTGCCAGAACAGAAAACTACCCTCTCTCCCTTGCAAACAAAGAATTATCGAGGTGAAAAGGAAAATGGCTAGGTAATACAACCCTCTAGACGTTGAGTTAAACTCCTATCATGCATGCTCAGCATAAAAACAGTCAATGGAGATGAGATATATAGTCCAGCAGATGGAATAAGCTATTAATTTCCCAATCCTGTTCTAAGATTTACTAGGGAAACCCAGAATAATGTTTGCTTAAGGCAACTATGGTCTTTCCAGTCTAAGAAAATCATGAGATTTGCCTTTGGCCTTAGACCAGGAGGAATGTATATTTTTTATCACTTTTCCTCCATCCATGATGATAATCTATCCCCTTTGCTTTATGATTTTGTCCCTCAGCATTCACTGCTGCTCTTTTCCCCAGCCCAGGTACCTGTGGGCGATTGAGGTGGATGTAAGAACTGAGGGCCTCAATGTAGGGCTGCTGCAATGCCTCTACCAGGCCATGGTCCTGCACGTTGGGCCTGTCAGCAGAGAAGATGTTGATCGCAATGAGGAGGGCATATTCGGCATCATCCAGTTGCAACTCTCGCATGGCCCGGGAAAACTCAAATATAGGATTGATGAATTCAACTTGAAGACCTGGTTTTTGGGGTGAGTGGATTGGACAGGGAGAGCAACAAAACATTAGGGAAAAATAGATGTTATCCAACTTTACATGTTCAGACTTCCAAGTGTATTTTTTGTTTGTTTTAGATTTCTATCATACCTCACTTTGACTATATTGCAGGGCTCAAGCTTATGAGTGCTTCAAAGCATAAATGCATAAGAGAAATTAATACTTAGGTTTGAAAATCTTGGCGGGCTATAGATAGATCTGAAGGTTGAAAAGACTCCCCAGAAGATGGCAATGGCAAACCACTCTACAGATGCATCCATAAAATGAGGAGCTAATTCATTATAAGAGTAACTATTTTTAAAAAACAGAAAATAACACTGTACATTCATTAGACAGTGGTATACCCTGAATATAGTTAGTGGCACAAAATAATCTGAAAATCTGGCAGGCAAAATGCCTATCAAAAAAACAAACAAACAAAAAAAAACAGCAAGAGAAATAGGTTGATACAGATTTCCTAAAAAAATTCAGTAATCAGCACAGCTACAAAAAATGTTTTCTCCTTAACTATCCCATCTTGTCTAGCACTGAGATACAATTCTTCAAATAAATTCAGAATGCTGATTGGTTAGTAATAAATAATCTAGATTGGAGGAATTTAAACTATCAACATTTTCAACTAGGCTTGAAAATTAACATACAGTACAACCAAAGCTTGGAAATGCACACTGGAAAGTAACTCTGGCTATAGGCAGAAATAAAATCTGTGAAAACAACAATTTTAAGTTCCTCCAATACAAGTTCATCCAAGTTTTCTTCCAATACAGAAAAAAATCTTTATATAATGTGACATGTAAACAACTGTTCCTTAACAGATGAAGGAAGATAGAAACTAAACCAGAAAGCGTGAACCACTGCACAATAAAGATCCCAGAATCAAGACGAGACATGCAGAAGATACAAAAGACAATCCAAGCTGTTTTCAGGTCATTTAAGTTTCACCTCATAGGTTCACCTTTGCAAAAGCATGATTAGAAACAAATGGAAACTCTCATTAAATATGAAAGCCCAGTAATCTTTATGACACCCTTTTCACTTGAGATGTGAAAGAGGAAATAGGGATAAATCAACCAAAAATATATCACTGGTCTTCCAGGATTTATCCCTTTGGAAATATATTAGTATTCCCAAACATATTTTTGAAAAATAAAATCTACCTCCACCTGGGTAAGAACTTTAAACAAAACACATTTTGGGAAAATGCAAATTATATATTTCTAGACAAAATAGTAATTCTGCTTACTATTCCAAAATATATAGATTTGACTGCAAACTTTGTGCCAGCAGGAAGCTTCTCTGGAATGGTGTGGGAACCAGCATTCACAAATGCTGGGTTCTCAATTCTCCATTTTGTATCTAATGGGAGTCATAATGTGCTAAGTTTTTCAAGAATCCAAATGCCAGAAAAGTAACTGCTAAGATTTTTGCTCTCTGTATGTATATGGGAATGGAGTCTCTAAGTCAGTGATGGCGAACCCTTTAGAGACCGAGTGCCCAAAAACTGGCCCTGCCCGTGCCCCTGCTCTGTCCCACCCTGCCTGCCCGCAGGGCCACTCACCGCCTCCAGAGCCTGTCGCAGATCGCCCAGGCAGCCCAGCAGCACCAATTTTTGGGGAGTAACCTTCACCATTCCACGCTCACTTTTGATTTTTTTTCCCCTCTGTCTGCAGATTTCTTCCCGGCCCCACCCCATCATGATTCACTTTTTACTCACCTGCACGGTGAAAGTCATCCTTGCTGTATGTGAAATCTTTAAGAAATGTAATGCACTGAGTCTCATGATTATAGCGCCGGGCTGTCTCCAGTAACATGATCTAAGAAGACAAGCAAGTGTCAAAGAACAGCTATAGCCCTTCTTTAAGAAACTACCTAACATGCATGGTATGTTTAGGTAGATAACTTTATATGCCATACATGGAAAAGGATATATTTTTTTAAAAGCAAAGAAAAGGAAAGAGAGTTTAGCTTTCCAGAGCATTAATTTCTCTGGAAAGCTAAACACTCTTTCCTTTTCTTTGCTTTTAAAAAAATATATCCTTTTCCATTCTGAGGCTCAAAAAAGCAGAAGCAACACACAATACAGTACATATTGCAATAGTAAAAATAGTGTAACAGCAAGTATCAAAAATAAATACCCACTCTATGTTCTTAGTGAATGTTTTAAAGCACAGCCTAATTTTCACAGACGTCTATATACAACTTCAGAGCTTCATGTTTTAAAATTCTATTTTAAAAACTCTGAATAAATTATTGCTATTTTGCTTTAGGGTCAGGAACTAACGTCTGTGTAATCTGTTTTGGTGCAGCACATATTGTAATAATAGGACTGTTTATACTGTAGTAAAGGAACTCATTTGCCCAACTGATCTAATACTGTGTCTATCAGTGTCTTGCCATCTTGAAGATGTGTGGACTTCAACTCCCAGGATTCTCCAGCCAGCATTTTGGGAGTTGAAGTCCACACATCTTCAAGCTCCCAAGGTTGAAAACGCTGCTCTGTACCAATGACAACAGATTGCAAAAATCCCTTCGGTAGAAAATCTTTTTCATCATTTGTCATCTGGTCCTCTTTTACTGGAACTATTACTGATCCATCTTCTTTGTGCTATTCCAGATTTCACTGAGTTATTACTACCGACATTCTCAGGACAACAGCCCAAACCAACTTAAGATTTTTAGCTCTTACAGCTTTGGAAGAAAAGGAAACATCCTTGCTCACCTCAATGGTAGAAGCCTTTAGCAGAGCAATTTGGTCTTCCCGCGAGAGCTGCAGGAAGCCGGGTACTTGCTTGGCAAAGTCCACAATCTCTTGCACTGAGATGATGGCTAATTCGGTAAAATGGGCAAAGCGCTGCTGGCGGGCTTCCCGGCTGTTGGGGTCACTGCTCATTGGCCAGGGCTGGGAAGTGATGGGAAAAATAAGAGATAAGGGGGAAATAAAAAGGGAATGAGGTTGGTCCAGAGCACTTTATGGCTTATCCAGAATAACAGAGTTGGAAAGGACCTTGGAGGTCTTCTAGGAAACCCTATATTATTTCAGACAAATGTTGTCCAATCTCTTCTTATATGGAAGTCACAGTAAAACCATTAGGACAAGAAAGCTGCTCTAGAAAGCCATTAAGACCATTACTTGCCTTTGCCATAGGCCCTAGCCAAATTTAGGTCTCTTTCTCACACAAACACTTACCGTGACTTTGGGCTGATCGCTAAAGCTCCTCTTGTTGCACTGTTGTTGGGCCGCCACCAACTGCTGGATCATGCCTTCCTGCTGTGGGGTAAGAGGAACTGGCTCAGGCTGGGATAAAGCAGGATCACAGAGCAATGGAGGCACTCGAAGTACTTCATCTCCATCTCTCTCCTCAGCTGGAACCGTATCACCCTCGTGTTTAGAGATCTTCTTCTTGCGGATTTGCTCTTCTGAAAGGACACCTGGAGACAGAGAGGGTCTGGCATGAAATGAGAAGATCTCAAAAGTTCAACAGAGAATTTCAATGCACTTAGCATTCTGAGGAACCATCTTTCTCAACTATGGGATGCACAGCCTAGAAAGATTTATTTTCTGCCTGATTACTGTTTACCCTCAGAGTACAATCCAACTACATCTTATTGACTCAAAATTTTGCACTTTCAGCTTTTTTTTTTTTGATGTTTGTAATTTGACAGTTTCTTGCTGACAAAACTAAGGATGGTTCGGCCTATCAAACATGGGCAATGTTTCTCACTCTTGGCTGTTTGGCTTGGCTATAAGACTTAGTCTTCAGCACCATCTGAGCTTTGCTCTGCATCTCAACAGGCTGTAGTGGCTAAGATTCCACAACTCACATTCTTCTCGCATGCCTGCTTGTCGGCATTTTTTCAACCGGCATTCCTGACACTTCCGGCGCATGTACATGTCCATGTGGCATTGCCCACTGCCCTTGCAGGTGTACTGAGCTCCTTTGATGAGGCTGCGCCGGAAGAAGCCCTTACAGCCCTCACAACTCAGGACATTATAGTGAAAACCCGAGGCCTTGTCCCCGCACACGCTGCAGACTTCATCCCCCAACATCTTGGGGGCAGGTCCCTTTTTGCGTTTGCGGGCTGGCTCCTCAGCTGCAGAGGAAGAGAGAGAAAACCAAAGATAATTACTCTATGAAAAATAGGGGATTCCCTCCACTTTTGATTGCCAAGCACTAATTTCAGTATTTTTAAAGTGCTCACATGACTGGCTATTGCAGAAATAGTGCATTTGGTTTACTCTTTATCCCCTCTACCATCTCTAGTGGTCAATCAGTTGGCAGCATTTTAAAAAAATATGCAACCACGAGCCACAATGGAACATATAAGGCTGACAGGGAAGGGATTGTTTTGTTATGATTACTGTTAAGCTGTCTTTTTCAAACCTGGCAACTTTAAGATGTGTGGACTTCAACTCCCAGAATTCCCTAGTCAGCATATTCCCTGTTGATATCTTATTAGACAAACAGATTTAACCACTCTTCTTCTTCTTTTTCAAGTGGTAGCTAGCTACTAAGTTAGACTCTTTATGTAAACAGCTGTGATCCTGGATCTCCTTCCATTTATTCAATTGTTTGGTACCAAACTAGACAATCTTCAAAAACACTTGTTCAGTTCTCCTAGGCTTTTATATTATGTTGAAAGTGCTTTGATGGTTTTTAGTGGTCTGTGGCTTCTATGTTCCTGTAAAAATATGTGGTTATTATCTGCTTCTTTCAGTTCCCGAACGTCTTGAGTGCAATCTTTATAGCATCTCCATATGTTGCCACATATGAATTATAATTTTTAATAAGGTAATAATGGGCAATCTAGAAATTATAGTAACTGAACTAATTAACCAATTTAATTAAGTATTAATCAATTTTCATTTTTGACCAAACCGATTATTTTTGAGAGTGATGCCTCAACATGAAAAGAGTTTGTGCTTTTGGTCACCCATACCATATAACTACTAGTCATTTCTACTGGATGGAAGAAGAATCAGTTGGGACAGGCTGCATAAGTACTTTACCCCTAAAATAATTCACAGGAGTCTGGCTTATTCTTTCACACAAACTAGTCCTTTTTTTCAAATTTCCATACTGAAAAGCAACATACAAACATTTAAAACATAACAACCCATGGACTTTTGCTCCAAATCCTTACAACACCTATTCAGGCAGTCCTTGATTTATGATTGGTCGTTTGGGAACTGTTTGAAGTTATGACAGACCCTCTCTCCACAACCCCATGACCATACTCAGATGCTCAGCAACATTTACAGCGGTTTACAGCATCTTGCAGTCATGCAACCACATTTTATGCTTTTGCAAAAATTCTCATTTAATTCCAGTTTTCAGCAAAACCGGGCCCATAGTAAACCACTGCTTTACTTAATGGCAGTCACTTAAGGGTCGCTGCAAAAAAAGTTGTAAAATCAGGTCTGTCTTGTGGGTATCCTGATATATGACTATCATAAGTTAAAACTGTGATGGGCATGCTCACTACAGTAGTAACTCGGGCCCACCTGTAATTTCTTTAATAATATTCCCCTTTCTAATATACTTCAGGTTGCTGAATCAATTCTTTTGCTCACCAGTGCTGTGCGTAGAACTTTCGCCATCATCTGTGCAAATTACTTCAATTTTCACTGTGTTCTGGGACTCTGTCTTTGCCACTGACCATTCTTTTTTGACCTGTGAAGTTGGCTCTGTTTCTTTGAAGGAGAAGAAGAAGGAGGTGAGAGGAGGTAGGAGGAGGTAGGAGGTAAGAGGTAGTAAGAAGAAGGAGGAGGAGGAGGAGGAGGAGGAGGAGGAAGAGGAGGAAGAGGAGGAAGAGGAGGAGGAGGAGAAGAAGAAGTAGAAGGAGAAGGAGAAGGAGGAGAAGGAGAAGGAGAAGGAGAAAGAAGAGAAGAAGAAGAAGAAGAAGAAGAAGAAGAAGAAGAAGAAGAAGAAGAAGAAGAAGAAGAAGAAGAAGAAGAAGAAGAAGAAGAAGAAGAAGATTAAACTCTGAAAAGCGTATCCTACTTGTTCAGCAGTGAGCCATCTGGTGGATTTTATTAAGCTTACCTTGTGATAACTGAGGTTCATCAGTGCCTGTTTTGGCCATCTCAGGGCATGAGCCACAGCAGCATTATATAGCTAGCTTTGGAATCAGACAAAAAAACAGTTCCTTCGAGCTCAGCTTCTTAAGTCCTCTTTCATTTCCTTGGGAAAGACAAAAGTCCTACCATTCTCCGTCTTGTTCTGGGAGAAGTACTTTACCTCAAAAGTTGTATTCCCCTGCCTGATAGAAAAAAGTCTCCGTATGCACCCAAGTGCACCCTCAAATAACCAATTCTGCAAATAACATAGGGAAACTATTGTCACATGGATTGAAAGTAGCTACTTTCTGAATTAAAAGAATTAAAAGAAGATAAGCCAGATTTACTGAGAATAGATCAACAGCTCTTATCCATAACCTCCATGGAATATCCATATTTGGAGCAGCACATCAGTGCGTTCTAGTTGCTGGGGGCAATAGCAGAAATGAGTTTTTCTTCATACTCTGCTTGTGATAAGGCCATTTTAGAAATATGTTACTAGATTTCCTTTGCCTTGATATAGCACTCTTCTCTACCAGGGATAGGCAACCTTGGCTCTTTTATGACTTGTGAACTTCAACTCCCAGAATTCCTGAGCCAGCCATGCTGACTTAGGAATTCTGGGAGTTGAAGTCCACGAGTCATAAAAGAGCCAAGGTTGCCTACTCCTGTTCTATGCCAATGATGAGGAAACTGTACTTTCAACTAAATTTCAAAGACCTCAGCAAGTAAGCAAATCACAAACATGGAATGTTTGCCTTTCCCACTGGATTGGAAATGAATGATATAGAAATGGGGGAGAGGGCTGGTGAATATCAAACAGAAAAACAGGAGAGAAATAAAACTTCCACTTACATGTAACTCTGGCTACACCTCTTATTAAGATGGATAAAGTTCACAAGACATAACTATTAATAGATTTTTTCCCCCATGAGGATACAAAAGTGAAAAAAGTCCCTATCTTCATCTTATCTTAACAACTCCTCACATCTTTTATTTTTGCACCTTCCTATGTCAACCCCACCTTTCATCATTTATCCTCTGGCAAAGGCTGCTTCTTTTCCTCCCCTGGCCTTCTTTTCTAAAACTGTTACTGGCCCTCATATAGTTATTTGCTCTACACCAAACATTCCATGAGAACTTTATGCAAAGGAGGGGAAGTTGTCCTTAAACTCTGTCTCACCTTTCCTGCCCCCCCAATAGGGAAAGATATTCAACTAATATACAATCACATAGCAGGGTTTACGGAGGGGGCACAGCAGCAGTTATTAGGAAGGAGGTACAGGTGACCAAATTACTGTATGAAGGTAAAATGTAGCCTGGAACAGAAAGAGAAAGAAGATATCAGCAAATTCCTTCATTGTACACCATAATATAAGATTATGTGAAGGGTAGAAGGCAATTCAACTCACTAATACTTGGTTTTCAGCATGTTGGTAAGGGTTTCTTCTTATATGTTCAGGAGTGTTAAAATAAAGAATGAGTAATCTGTGGTTCAAAGCCACATACAGAGCCTAAAACAGGGGTGTTTTTTTTTTTTTTGCAACCTCAGATCTTCTCAATTATATTACTGATTTTTTTTCCTGCTCTTTCCTGAGATGTGAAACCCATAAAATATTTTTAATGAAGTCTAAAATAAGTTAAAAACATTTTTGAACAGCTAAAAATAACAACAATCCTATCACTCCAAAGTCCTCCCTGCAAAAAGCCAGAAAAAGATTCCAGGTGTAGCCTAGATAATCAATATTCTAAGTAGCTATGACAAAGAAATTTGAGGAAGCAAGTTCACCCCAGAAATATTGTAAAAATCCTTGTACATCCAATTAATGTATTTATTATATTCTTTTGTTACCTTGTGACAAATACTAATGTAATCATGCATCAACCAAATAAACCCTTAAAAATGTAAATTACAATTCCTATTATAAATGCTCCTTTAAAAACAACTCTTCAGGGATTCCTTCTTTAAATCCAAAGGCAATTTAAGCACAGATATTCATAGCTATGATGCCCAGAATTATCTTGACATACAATACTGTCTATATGAAGGCTGATGTAACAGTTTGTGTGAAAGAGAGGTGAAATTAAAATCTGAGATCTCCGGATTTCTAATTTAGCTTATTTTGTAAGGTTTTTTTTTTCCTCCAGTAAGTTCTCAAAGCAAACTTCTGAGGAGACCTGGCATTCCTCCAAACTAACGATCTGCCACTGATTGGAAACGCTGAGGTCTCCTCCCATTTGTTAGTTGCTCTAGCAAACGGTTTAAAGCACTTGATTTTACACCTCTTCACTCGCTCCTGATCCTCTCCTAAAGCAGGGCCAGGATTTCACTTTCCCTATTGGGAAAGTTCCCTGCTCCCCACCCCCTCAACGAGTAGGAGGAATAATTTGGGGATCCTCCCTGCTCAAAAGCCCCAATCCTTTCCAGCCTAGCTCAGAAAACCTTCCCTGGCCCCTCAGGATTTACCCCCAAGAAAACCAACACGGGATGACGGAGTTAACGGCTGTGATTTCTACTCGTCCGCTTAACTGGGGTGCGCGGGGGAGTGCAGCTTTACTTCCCAGATTTGCCCGAAAACCTGCGACGTAGAGAACATGGAGTCGAGCCACTATAATTCCCATTCTCGCTTGATGGATACCACGCGACTTCCCTCTCCCACGTACCATACTTCGAGACCACTCTTTACCTTCTGCTCTCACGGAGTCCCACCACTTGCCTAAACCAGTGAAAACACTTTTTTCGCATACAGAAGCAAGGCGCTTCCGGGAACCCTGAGCAGGCGTCACTTCCTTTTCAACGTGGGAAACCACCCCTTCTCTGGAGGGCGCGTCGTTTTCTTCCTCGGGTCTGCGTTTTCCACCGCACTAGCTGTATCGCGTGGGTTGCACAATACTGACCGGAGGGGGTGGACTTGGGAACCAGGGAAGCTCTTTGTGCTTCCAGAAAAAAAAAGAAGTAGTGCAATTCGGACTCCATTTAGCCACATCACAAGATGCTGATTTGGCAGCCTCATTTATATTGAGTGGCAAGTGCGTGGATTGCACATGCGTTTATTGAAGCAGTCTTAATGATGATTCGCTCTTCAGCCATGGAATGGTTTTGTTTTGTTTTGCGGTCTCTAGATTGCTTTTCACAAATACTTCATACAAGAATAATGCATTAATTAAAGTTCTGTCTTCCTAAGAAGCAAACCTTGAACTTTCTATAGAATCTAAACATTCTAAAACTAAGTCAGATTGAGCTTTTGGATTTTTATTCACATGAATTATATTATACAGTTATGCAATTATGGTTATTTAGGCTCAGATCAAAATTACATCAAACAACTGCAACTATACATATATAATGAGTCTGATATGTCCTATCTTGTACACATTTATAAGTACTATAACACAAATGTTGCAAACTTCGTGGTTCACAGGTGTCTGACTGCTGACAGCTAATTTATCATTCATCTTGATAAATATACATCAATATGATAAATCTTCAGAGACAGTTAAAACCTACAATACAATGGAAACGAGTAAGAAAAATACAGATGGTGAGAGTCAGGAAGACATTAAGGAAGTAAGATAACCATAGAGGTAAAAATAGCTGGGTCTGAGAAAGGAAGAGGAAAGTCATAAAATAGATAAAGTTTTTTTATAGGAAATGGCTAGCCAGAAAGGAAGGTTGAATGGAGAACAGAAAAAAAGGCACATTGTAAAATGGAGATATAAATATATCTGAGTTTAAAAATAACCATAAGAAAATATTTTTTCTTATTCTTATTGTATATGTGAATATGATTTAGTATGTTATCAGGAAATGTGTATAGGTGGACGGAAAGAGTGTAACCTCATACTACCTCAGCCAATGGGGAAAGAGGAGGGCTGTAGCGGCCGGTGATAGGGATGAATAAAAGAAGGAGATATTTTGGGTTAAAACTTTGGAGAGAACTAAGCTTTGAAAGCTTCTCTCCCTGCTTATTGCAATAAACGAAACAAAAGACTTTCACTGTGTCTTGGCTGGTTATTGGTCAGGCGAGCTTGCCTCTGGTCACGAAGGAAAGTAGCCAGGAGCACATAACAGCCTTGGGGGCTCGTCCGGGATTTGCATCCGTTCCATCTTTGGCAGCCGGGGATATTCGAAAGGGGAGTGCGCACCTGGGTAAGTTTTTCCCAGCCCTAAAGTTCGGATTGCCCCTGCTCAAACAAGGAGGAATTGGAGATCCCGAGATGAAAGCCAGGACCCAGTGAAAACCTAAGGGAAAGTCGGCCGACCTAAGGAAGGACTTCAACTCAGCCTGACAGGTAAGATACCAGAGGGGTATCTGTATATCAGAGAGGTGTTAATGGGCAATAAGAGTTTGAAGAGGAGGGACGCCTCCCCGGCCAGTGTGCCGGCCAATAAGGAAAAAGAGGAAAGGTATTTACATTCTGGAATGAACCCCCTTAGGGAGATGGGAATCCCTTAGGGAGAATGTTAAAGTGTTTTAAGTCAATGCTTTAAACAAGGCATTTGAACAAAGGAAGGATGATACATTACAGTATATATTTGGCCTAAGTACATGTTTGGCCAGCCAATAAATTAAATTGGGCTTCTCAGCTTAGCTTGGAGCGATGGGGAATGGATAGGCAGTGGTTAAAGTCTATCAGAAACACTCCTTGTATTTCCCCACTGCCTGGAGAACAAGCTACAAGTGCCCTAAAAGAGTAAAAGTGGAGATTTAAAGTGGAAATGATGTTTAATGGTCTCTGTGTTTGTATTGACTCATTTCTAAAAACCTGGGGGAGGGGAGGGAGAGACCCTCTAATAGTAATATACAAAACAACAAGGTCTTATTCCAAAAGGGAAATTTGGGAAAAAAGCTTCTTGAAAATAAGAATGATTGTTTTGCCTGGGGTGAAGCATTTGGAATTTTTTGTGTCTGGTGTAAAAGCAAGAAAGGGTGAAGAAGGGTAGTTTCTTAGTAATTAGAAGGACAATAGAAGGTGTTAAAAGAATGGAAATAATCAGATGGAAGAAAGAGAGAGAGAGAAAGAAAGGAGCTGGGGGTAAGTTTTATGCCTGGCCAGGATGAAAAGCGAGATCTCTGATCTGCTATTTTGTGCGAAAGAGTTAAGTAGAAAGCTATGTATTTCTTGAGGTTCCTATAGTTTGGAAGGTGACAAGAGAGGAGAAAACCTCTCTCCAAGGGGGGGGGATTGTTCCCCCTAACAGCTTTTGAAATCAGGCAATCTAGGAAAGAATTGCCCAAACTAATAGAAGATCCTATTGAAGTAGGAAAACAGGTTAGAAATTTTTTTAGGACCAATGGAAAGCATGGGAAGGTATTAGGGTACAAATGCAGAAATTAGACAGATGGAAAACTAAAACAATAGAAGGTTTATTAGCAGTAAAAGAGGCTCAGAAAGTATATGCGAAGTGAGAAGAGAGAGATAAACGTAAGATAAAAATCATGGCTCAATTATTGCAAACAGGCCAGTAAAGAAGATGTGGAAGAGTAATCAGGAAATCAGTAAGGCAGGCTGGGGGTGAGGACAGCCAGTTGGCACCAGGGGATATAAATCTCTAGGAGAAAAATTTTCCCCAGTCCTTAAATAAATAATTAAATGTGCCTTTTGTAAGGAGGAAGGACACTGGGAAAATGAGTACCTTAAGAAGAAAGAGGGGAAGGGATAACTATGATAAGTTAATAGAACAGATTCAAAAAGACTTTGATATTTGGACTAACCTACAGCTCTTTTATGGGCAGAATTGCGGTGATTAAAATGAATGTGTTGCCAAAAATCTTATTTTTGTTCCAATGTATACCTATAAAATTAGACAAGAAATTTTTTCAAAATTTGAATAAAATGATGTGTAAATTCATCTGGCAAGGAAAAAGAGCAAGGATTAAATTAAAATTACTACAGGACTCAAAGGAAAGGGGGGGATTTGGTCTTCCAGACTTGGAGAAATATTACCAGGCCGCAGCATTAGTATGGGTAAGAGATTGGATATTACTAAAAAATAGGAGACTATTGTGTCTGGAGGGCCATGACCTACAAATAGGATGGCATGCCATATTATGGGATCATAAATATAAAGTACATAAATATTTTCGAAGTCACTATATTAGGCAAGCTCTTATTGATGTATGGACAAAAATTTGGCAACCAAATTATACCCAAGTACCTAGTTGGATCTCACCGTTAGAAATATATGTACACCCAAAATTTACTCAATTAGACAAGATCATAACATATAAAAATATTTTAGATGAAAGAGGGGAATTGAAATCCAGGAAAACCATCCACGATGAAGGGATAGAATTAGAATGGTGGGCATACCTGCAACTGCAGGCAAGATATCGGAAAGACAAAAAAGAGTTAGGCATTAAATTAGAACCAATAGAATTGGATAAAATAATTTTGGGGTCGGAGGATAAAATGATTAAAAAATTATACTACTATTTGCTAGATCAGGCAACGTACTAGGAACAAGTAAAAGTGACTATGTTGAATTGGAGTAAGGATTTTGGTCTTAATTTTGATCTGCATATATGGCAAGAATTATGGGCAAGAAATAAGAAGCTTACTTTGGCCACCTCTTACAAAGAGAACCTTTACAAAATGTTTTATAGATGGCATCTCCCAACCACTAGATTGTCTAAAATGTATACCAAAGTCTCCCCTAAATGTTGGAAATGTAATTTGAAAAGTGGAACTTACTATCATATGTGGTGGGAATGCACGCGAGCTTGTGATTTTTGGAACAGGATTAAAATATGGTTGGAAGAAATATTAGAGCAAGCGGTAGAACCAAAACCAGAACTCTTTCTATTAGGTTTAACTACGCAAAAACATGACAAAGGCGTATTTTATTTAATGCTACACATTTTAACGGCCTCCAGGCTGGTTTTTGCTCAAAATTGGAGGAACAAGGAAACCCCAACGGAAGAAGAGATCCTGCATAAAATTTTAATATGTGCTGAGATGGACAGGCTTACAATGATTATGAAAGACAAAACGGAACACGAATACTTCGAAATCTGGGGCAAATTTTACCGCTGGTATGAATTAAGAACTGCTCGGACTTCAAACTAATGGTAGAATTAAAAGATATACATAACTGTACATATAATTGTATATATAATTGTATTGTATAAAAGATGAGGTTTATATAGAGGTTAAGAACAATGTATAAAATTTTTTGTACTATGATAGGAACTGATAGAAAAATTCACTCTGGAATGTCATGTTTGTCCATTGTTGTTTTAATTATATTATGAATAAAAATTTAAAAAAAAAAAAAGAAGAAGGAGGGGGAAGAACTAGCAAATTTGGTGAATTTTGAGGATTAGGGGTGTCAGGGGACTAATCTGTTTTTTGGTTCAGCTTTTTAGGAACCCCTAATAAACCTTAAAGGTTGGATCCCTGGAGGAGGAAAGGGTGTACTTGGTGGATTCTGGACCACCAGATTTACCCTGAACTTTTACCTCCAGGAATGCAAATTGGGAAAGGGAAGATTAAGGATCAGGGAATTATGGACATGTAGTAGAAGCAACAATATTTAATCAGCTATGGTCCAGACAGTAGTAAAAGGACCTGAACTTTGTATTGGTTAAAGGGAGCTGCAATTTGGCCAGGAGGTATTTAATTGGTAAATTGGGGATTGTTATTATGGGAAATGAAAGGGAAATAATGGTAAACATTATGGCCTTAAGTGAGGAGGCTCAAAGAAAAGTGAACCCCTCAGTTTGGGCCAAGGAGGGGAATAGGGGAAAGGTTCAAATTAAACCCTTAAAAGTAACTCTTAAATAACCAGGAGAAGCTGTACATCAGA